GAAAATTCGTGTAAAGTGCCTTTCCCAAGGACACAACGTCGGGCCCTTGACGGGATTCGAACCCACGACCTTACGGTTGCGAGTCCGAGAGCCTAACCATTAGGCCACTAACTGCCTGTCAGGGTCAACCCCTGATGAGAGAGATACAACGTACGAGCAGAAAAAACAAGATACTCGATGAACATTCACTCCACATAAGAATCTAACTCGAGTCTTCGCTGAGTGCGACGGCGAAGCGCCTCAACTGCTTCACCACAAACGAGGCCCCTGTCTAGTAGAAAATGTAAACTTCCTGTTGTAAGGTCCACCTTCGAAATAAACTGTTCATGCCAAATATTGGACTGACGCTCTTTGTTGTTGCTGTTGTTGTTGTTTCTGTTGTTGTTGTTTCTGTTGTTTTTTTGTTGTTGTTTTTTTTTTAACTCGCCTTTCGGGGCTTAAAAAAATATTGTTAAAACTCAACCGTTCCCGTCCACAGAGGAGCTGTACTGTCTGGACCACAAGCCGTGTCGACACGGAGGTCAGTGTCACCAGGATAGCGCTCACAACTACACGTGCGTCTGTCCCGACGGCTACACGGGCACACACTGTGAGATACCGGTGTGCCATAAACATTTCTGCCTCCACGGGGGACAATGCCGGGTGAGTCTATGGTAACGCGTAGCGTCTAATTGTATTCTCAAATCAAAGTCTCTTTTGTTGGTTGTAATTATTTGATATTGCTGCTCTACTACGACATCCACTGGTGCTGTTTATACTGGTGTTGTTACTGATGGTGGGTGAGGTTGTTAAAGACCTTTGCAAGATTTCTACAAAATTCATTTACCAAACAAGCTTTCACTACCTTATACTTATACTTACAAAGTTGTATCTGATCAGTACCTAGTTTTGAGAAATTTTACGTCAAATATTTTGAGACTTTCACAACGTGTCAAGATCATTCGAATGCAATTCTTTGAACATCTAGATAACGACTTCGAATAATCTTTTGATTTTGTTAGAGCAGATAGAACATTTGGTCTCTGACCTCGTGGTCTTAGTGACTCAAAACAGCAAAAAATGTTAGATAGAACTTTGTAATTCTAAGGTAACACTTTGGTGAATGAAAACTTTGACGGAGTTATATATTGTCTCTTTCTTTTTTAAATTTTATTGGTGGGCATAGAGGAGTGGCCGGTGGAGATTGGTGGAAAAATAAACTTTAATGAATGAATACAACTTTTGTTTAATTTTAAAAACTGAAGAATCAAATTCAAAATTAATATTTTAGAATAAACGCCTTAAATGTTGGTTTGTTTGTTGGTTGGTTGGTTCATTTATTTTCTTTTTCTTGCCACCCTCAGACCGCTGAAGGTACACGCTACTGCCTATGTCCCGCCCCCTACAGTGGGCCACGCTGCCAGCATTGGTCAGACTCCTCCCTCATCGACTCCATAGCCCCACCCCCTTCCTCCCCGGCTTTATGCCAAGGTCAGAACTGTGTCGGCGGGCTGTCACCGAGTGACCCCTGCTACGGTCACGTGTGCTACAACAACGGGACTTGCCTCGTTCCCGAGGGCCACGCCACGCCCACTTGCTGGTGTCCGTTTCCGTTCAAGGGAGATCACTGTCTGCAAGTGGAAAACCCGTGCGCGAAGAGCCCGTGCCAGAACAATGGCGTGTGCTCGTTAGACAAGGAAGGAGGGAAATTCAAATGTGTGTGTAGCCACGGGTTCTCGGGAGAGTTTTGCCAGGAGTCTACAGCAGACGATGGATTATGCGACGACATCCTGGCGTGTCAAAATGACGGCCGCTGCGCTCGCTCGGAGAGAGGACAGTACTACTGCCGATGCCCCGCCAGTTTCAGCGGCGAGTTTTGTGAGATGAAAGTCGAGACAGACGACCCGTGTTCGCAACTAGCGTGTTTGAACGACGGCCAGTGTGTTATAGGTCGACACGGACAGGCGCGGTGTGCATGCATGACGGGGTTCTCCGGGATTCTGTGTCAGAGAGTAGAGGGCGTCTGCGCCGGAAGGCCGTGCCAACATGGCGGAACGTGCGTGGAGTACGACGGGCAGGTGTTCTGCGCATGTCGTCGCGGGTACGACGGGAAGGTTTGCGAGAAGCGGCGCAAGAGGAGAAAGACGAGAACAAAGACGAAGACGAAAAACAAGACGAAGACGGAGACAAAGACGAAGACGGAGACAAAGACAAAGACGGAGACGACGGCGAAAGCGACGAGGACGAAGACGACGCTGCGTGTGACGGCGAGGACGATAAACGTGACAGAGAGGGACGTGGCTATCACTGTGTGCGCTCAGTGGTGGCTCCTCTGTGGACTGTTTCTCACTACACTCTGTCTCACCGCATAGACGCTGCGGGGATGTTCAAGCACAAAATGTTATTTAAAACGACGACAGTAAAATGATGACGATGAGATAATAGTGATGATAGTAATAATAGTATAATTATTAGTAGTATTATTATTACCATCAGTATCATTATTATCATCATCATTATCATTCATGGCAATGCCATTATTGTTATTATTATCATTGTGATTATTATGATGATTGTTAATATCATTACAAGGACTGTATTACTATTATTATGGAGTGCAATCTACATAATACGTTTCAGATCGAACTACCAGTACTGGTTTGCTACTAAATCGATACATGGCATCTACGTGAGAATCAAAACCGTCGGCGCATACAAACTGCCAAAGTTTCGTTGGATTTTTTTTTCCACCCAATATGATGACGGGAAGGTGTCTGAGAAGCAGCGCTAGAGGAGAAAGACGAGGGCAAAGACGGAGACAAAGACGGAGACGGAGACAAAGACGGA